TGGCATTAGATCTGTACCGTCTTACAGCTTGTAATGCGTGATATCCATCCTTCAACAAATCCTTGCAATATTTTTTTGATTTTCAGCTTCATTTCACACTGTATTTTTGGTACAAGCATGGAATTTTCACCGGGGATAACAGTGGCCCAAATTTTGCAGGCCGACCATAGATATCAGATGTGCGTCGTATGGGGATCGAACCCCGGATACACCATGGTTGAAGAGAGTCCTAACCACTGTGCCACCGATGCGCATATCATCGAACTTTGGCTCAATACATGATTCAATATAATGGCAAACTTGCTCATACATTGATTCACACCATCGTTTACCAGTTTCAGAATATCATCGAACTTCGGCTCGATACCTTCATCCTCTATACGGGAGCTTATCTTCACCCACTTCCTATGCAGTCGAGTAGGTAGGCGTCTCGCTATTACCTCTAGGAGTGAACATGAGTTCAGATCACTCATCCAATTCATCGAAATCAATGCATTTTTGTAAATCAGCAAATTATCCAAAAACTCAGTTAGTGGCTGGGAGTCATCCTGTAATTGACCACCATTACCCTCAACAGCCTCGAATAATTTCCCTACAATCATCGAAGGTCTTCCAAACCTTTGACGCAGTATGCTCATAGCCTCATCGTAGCCCTCTTTTGGCTTCATAAACGTACAGCACTGTATAGCTCTTGCAGCATCTCCAGTGCAATACCTCATTAAATACATTAACTTCATTTCATCATTTAATAAAATACCACTCAACATGATTTCAAACTCCTTTACAAACTGTGGATAGTCAGCTGGGGTTGCGTCGAAACACCGAGGTTCAAATTTAGGCCTTTATCCCTACACTGAGAAACATGAACGACAGAGTCATCATGCTGAGCATCAAACACATCGTTACAATTACAAGTGAAAATGGCTTACTTTCCTGTTTGCTTCCAAGACGCTTTGTCCCTTCTTTCACCCAGGAATCATTGGACTTGAATGAATTCCATAAAAGTTTACAGATAACGCTTGTTCAAAGAAGACTTGGCCGGCATCAGGAAAGACGGAACGAGACTATGAAACTGTCAGAAACTGTCAATCACGTCTCAAAAACCGTTAATGCCCAGCTCTTGCTACGCTGGGCCTCACGCTGTCCCTCGAAGCCTTTCAGAAACGCTTAGTACTAGCGGACGCAAAAACCAGAACACCGATTGGGAACTCGAGTATTCTGTATTCTAACACCAACATATAACCAGCATTACTGGCGTTACAGCCTAAGGTCTAAGAACAAATATTACAATAATAAATCACGATACTACTTCTGACAGTATTTTCTATCTTCTTTCTGAACAGCGACCGATGACTGGCAGATTGATGACCGGCGAAAATCATGGGAAAGTTGGGTTTGAGGAAACAACCGTGAAATGATCCTTCAATCTTCAACTCCATTGACACCCACCTTATCACAGTCCGGCACTGGAACTGCACAGGTAAATCCAAGTGCACTCGATACTTCGTCTGTATCCATGAAAAGCCAGTATGTCACACAGCAAAACCAGAAAAACACTGATGACATCGTAAGATATCGATAGACAGGGAGTACAGGGTAGGAAGAAGTTGCTATAAACATTAACAAGCAACTTAAATGCAAACATGTGACGGACCCAATACTTACTGAACTCCCACACATTGTGTGATTCTACCGTAGACAGTATAAAGCATTTACTAGGTGGCATCTACAGATCACCTACCTGGGGAGCAGAGCACAGCCAGCTACCACCCAGCACTTTCACATGGACACGGAACTTCGGAAATCGTCAAATCATTATGGCTGGATATTTCAGTACCAAAACTTGGTGTCAATGTACTTGAAGATTGAACGATCAATTCCTTGTTGTTTGCTCAAACCCAACTTCCCTATATTTTCGCGGAGGCATTATTACACCAGTCATCGTCTCATCGGTCGCTGTTAGGAAAGATCAAAAACCGTCAGAAGTAATATCGTGATTTATTATTGTAATATTTGTTCTTAGACCTTAGTTATTATGCTGATCATATGTTGGTGTTAGAATAAAGAATTCTCGAGTCGCCAATCGGTGTTTTGGTTTTTGCGTCCGTTAGTACTAAGCGTTTCTGAAAGGCTTCGAGGGACAGCGGGAGGCCCGGCGTAGCAAGAGCTGGGCATTAACGGTTTTTGAGACGTTATTGACTCTTGGTCTGGTGTATACTCAGGAAAAATTTGCTCGAAATCTGCTACAAACCATTAGAAATACGGGACTCACTGATAACGCTGGAGTTTTCTGCAGGTAGGGCCCTAGGGGGTTGTTACCCTAACTAGATTCTATTCTAACTAGTGACCAGTTATCGGTAGAAAATTTCAAAATTATAACACGCCGGTGGAGTATTGGTCACGCAGTCACAGGGTTTGATCCTATTCTCCGTGACTGCTTACAGTGGGATGCCACATAACCTTCTCTTTTATGAAGCAAAGCTGACTATGCAGAGATGCGAAGGTTTTTTTCCAAAACAGATTAGCCCGTAGAGGGGCTAAGTATTCTGTTGGCAAACACTGAATCGCCAAAAGAGATTATTAACACAGGAATCTCAGATACTGTCCCTCTGGTCACAACACAGCGTAAGAAAATGTCCTCATGACTAAAGTGATGTACGCAGAGTATTACGCATGAGAAGCGGAAGGCTTAGTCCACATGGCGAATATCCAAGAATTAGACCGACCACGATGCATGCCTGAAAATCAGGAACCGGTGCAACAAAAGATTCAAGAACCACGGAAGACTGTACGATTCGTGTCAGAAAGAAAAGCTATCGATTAGAATGCATGCAACTTGGTAGGTTCAAATGGTCCATATCTCACCAGTTTGGCGATGGCTGAAGCATTCAGTTCTGCCTTTGCCAAACAGTTGAAGAACAATTGGGTTATTACTCGTACAGGCCCAGAAGGCTTCACTGATGTTTCTTTGGAAGCAAACCTAGTGTCTACACTGTAAACAAAACCAACTGTGGTACTGAGAATTTTACAGAGGCTCACATTTGAAAAGTCCCCAGGTTGTGACGGCATCACATCATCTGTCCTGAAGCAGTGCGATGAAGGTCTCTGTAGGTCTTTAAGCGACCTGTTCCAAAACTCAATGGACTCAGGCAAACTGCCAAGGGAGTGGAAAAGGGCCATCCTTTCTCCTATTTCCAAGGGTAGGGATCGGCAAAATGCCACCAGGAGCGCCGCTGTCAGTGGTATCGAAAGTACCGTAAAGTATAATCGATGATCACATCAGGGAGCACTTGCACAGTACTCATAGACTCCATTAAGCCCAACATGACCTCAGGAGAGGTAGATCCTGTGTGACAGACTTACTATTATTTTGTAAAGATTGCACGTCGTGTTGGGATGTGAACGTTTCAGTCAGGATGACCTTCCTTGACTTTGAGAAGGCATTTGACACAGTTCTCTGTGACTATCTCTTATAAAAAATGAGTCAGGCAGGTATAGGTGACCCGCTTTTCTCATGGTTGAAGAACTACCTAGCTGAAGTGAACTTCTGCATTAGGATCAATCGAGTCCGATTATCCTGACACAGCTTATCATCAGGAGTGTTGTAGAGTTCCATCCTAGGACCACCGATGTTTCTGAATTTTATCAGCGACCTACCTGGCCATCTTAGCTGCCCGACTCTTCTATGCTCTGACGACGCAGAGATACCGAGGACAATAAAGCGTTCAGAAGACTCAGATAAGCTGCAGGCGAATGTAAAGCTTCTGGAAAGCTGGGCGGTTGCCAGTGGTATGACGTTCAACCTGAAAAGGTGCAAGCTAGTGAAATTACGCGCCTGTAGACTTCAGAATGCAAGTTACAACCTACGCAATGAAAGCATATCGTGTGCAACGTCGAGGTGCAACTAAGGTATAATTTTATCGGAAAAGTTGAACATAAGCGTAAATTACACTGGGCATACACGATCATACAGTTTACACATATACAGTTAGATGCGCTCAATCCTGAGTCCCTTCTAAGGTTGTACAAAAATATACGTCAGACGACATCTTGAAGTGTAAAATATCACCTATCCACTACTGCTTAAATAAGACTCAAAGCTTTTAGAAAGAGTCAAAAGACGGAGTTCAAATGGGGTGATTGGTCTCCGAAACAAACCACCTAGAACGGCTAAGGAAATGAGGTATTTTCCCGCTCAGCTACTGTCAGATAAGAGAGGACTTGGTTACTGCCTATAGGATTATAAATGACAATAATCGCCTAAACACATATATTCTTCCATCAAGTACGTGAGGATTTCCGCGTGGGAATCCACAAAGGAATGCTCACAAGACCGCAAAGAGTCAAGTGCGCTCTCATTTCCCTATACTTCGAGTTTGTCGTTCTTAGAACTCTTTAACGGCAGATGTAGCTACGGCACCACTGGTAGCTTCTGGTAGCTTTGAGCAAAGACTGAAAAATCAAGCAGCAACATAAGGACTGCGTCCAAACGGTCTATTTCCTTAAAATCTCATACGCTATTAATGAGTAGACACATAAACTCACTTTTTAATTCATCATAGTGTCTCTTGTCTTATTCTTCTCACTATTCCAACCATCACGTAACTTGCACCATCATTATTATAGATATCAGTCTCAAATTTCGTCAGCTGTCTGTTTTTACGTTTCATTTCTTGTTTTTCTTCTTTTTAGCCTACTAATTATATCCTTTATTATTATTTCTGTCTTTGTCTACAGCACCGGACGAAAAACTGGTAAAAGGATCAATTCCATTCACGGCAACCACACAGTCTTAACACACCGCATACTACAAGCTACATATAATCAATTTGGCACCACTCATTTTGGTGTCAATGGAAACCACAACAGTCGAGTGATGGGGAAAGCCAGGGAAACGTTTTCCGAACGTTAGGAGCTTTTACCTCACAAGAAGCCAGCACAAAGAAATCAAACTGGTTTATACTAGCTCGTAAAAAACGACATTTGATACCATTAAGGTTGAATATCGAACTGTGCACTGTTTGAGCTATGCGTTACAGGTGATGGGAATATTATTTTTGTTTTTGTTGGCTTTACTTACCAATCTTACTGCCTGCAACTATTACGATACTCTTGGCGTATCAAGATCTGCAACATCAGTGGAGATAAAGTCAGCATACAGAAAGTTAGCTAAGAAATGGTAGTGTTCATATACTGTATTTAATTTACTTCGTAGGCATCCAGATAAAAATCCATCTGAAGAAGCAAGTAAAAAATTCATAAAAATAAATGAAGCATATGAGGTGACAATATTTTTTAGAATTATGTATCATTTACACAAACTAGGTTTTATCTAACACCAAGAAGCGTCATGAATATGACACTTTCGGAAGAGTTCATTCGGATGGTAGCGTTCCTCCTCCTGGACACCGTCCTTATCGTCATGAGTTCGTACACTCTGCATTCGAAGAACTATTTGACTTCTTTCCTGGATTCAACAGTGCTCCGCAATTCTCAGTGAATGTTGTAGTAGGTTTTCCATTAGATTTTCATTTAAAAAATATGTGCATTTGGTTTTCTCTTAATTTAACAAAGTACATATCCTTTGAATTTTTCCTGTGGTGTTGCTTGAAGCTAGAATTTTGTTTTGAACTAGTATAGTGATCGGGCGTAAGTCTAGGAGTTATTGAGAATGCTGAAGCACACATAGCTGCTTAATTCATTCATATCGATTAAATCGTTTTTCAGAATCCCAGCCTACTCGTTATTTCGCACGCTACCACTATGAATTACCATTCTAATCATTTTCTCGACATTTAGTCCTTATTTTACTGTGATTTTCTTTCGAATACACGGCTAAAGAATAAAAATCTATAGTAGTTGGCTGTTACATTTTATTGTGTCTGTGATGATAAAATCAGCAAATACATCTCTTTCAACTATTATAAGATGTTGAGGAATGCGTTTTATTAATAGTTCTTCGATTGTTTAGCTTCAGCAGACAATTATTTGAATGTATAATTTCTTTTTGGAAGGATTGATGCTGGTAACGAAGATGAATTATCTGCTAAAATAGCCATTGTACGCTAAATGTTAAATATACTGACATCAAGAGTTATTTGTTCATCATAAGTTTCCTTCAATTACAATTATTGTGGTTTAGATCTCATCTTTATCACCTCCGGACTTTTCATCAGCACGCATTCAATCATCTACGGACTTTTGGTCGAAATCGGTACATGACTGTGTGGGTTTTGATGATTTTGTAGCTATAATCTTGTAATGAGAACTGACTTCAAATAAACTACTCATCTACTTTCTAATATTAACTGTGCGAAATTGGACTGCTCCACTTTTGTGCTCGGTCAGTCATTAACCACTTAGTTGCTCACAAGTAATGTTACCGGTTTCTTAATGTGTCTGTATTTATTTAGGATGCAGTATCAAAGTGTATAGAATACTTCAAGTCAGCTATTATTGTAATACGTCTGTCACAATTGTATGCAAGTTGGTTAGTATCGCTGTGTAGAACAACGATTACAGAATACCGCCGTTCATGTTGTTTTTGTGTATTTTCCACTAAAAGTTGGGAAATAAGAAATCGTTGTAGTAATTTGTATCACTTCAAGAAAATAGTACAATGTTGTTTAATAAGCATGTTTTATCATCTAATTTTGTACTTTTTGTCTTTCGCTTTAAGAATATTGACTTCCGGAGCTATCGCCTAACTCATCTTCCAAGATCTCGGACGGTGCCATTATTCATTCTTGGTTATTCAGATTTCTGTTTCCCTTGTCGTCAAGTTCGTCCACTTTGGTCTCATTTAGCAGATGAACTTACTCCATTGGGAATAACCGTAGCCAGTGTTAATTTAGAACATGATTCTGCATTACGTGAGGAACTACGTGTACTACATGTTCCAAGTGTGACTATAATTGTTGATGGTCAGGTTGGTGAGCAGTTTTCACTTTGTTAATATATGTGTAATATGTGTTTTCACTTTGCTAGAGTAATATTTTGTTTGCAGGATTTGTCTTGTTGTCTGACTTTTACACTCTTTAATCTTTACACTCTTACTATACCATTGTTGAGGCATTTAATGTAGGATTACGTATTATACTAGTCAAAAGGTATCATATAAACATGATAGTCGGTGTTTATTCTTTTTCTAGGTGACGTTTACATTGTTTCCAAATATTTGAGATAATCGCAGATTATCCTTCGCCATTCAAGGTATATGTATGTATGTATGTATGTATATAAACATATATACAATTGTAGAGCCAGAAGAGGAATTTATCGAAAAGGATATTCTTTGCTCAATTATTTTGTGTTTTATAGATATCTGAATGGATATTTTTGCTACATTAAAGATATTGTCTCCTGTACCCATCTTGAAAATTCATATAACTTTATGGAATAGCGTTTGCTGTTTGCAGTTATTCACTCAGTAACTAGCTGAAATTCTAATTCAATTAATAAACCAGAAAACTGCTACCAGTCATCACTGTAATAGTGACTCCTTGGCGTACTGGAGTGGGTTTTACGTGTTGTTAGTCAGTTACGACTATCTAACTTCACGTAATTGATGTTTGTTTTAAGAGAAATCTAAATAATATCACGAAATCGATACAGTCCTTTATATCAAAGGGAATATTATTTCACTGTTTCTGCAAGAATATTCTACAGTCTACATTTCATCAATGTGAGGGGCACTTTGTTCTGCTTTTTACGAAATTTTTAATCAAACATAACATAATTATAGATATGGTCAATGTCTTAAGGTGTGTTTATACTGATACTTAGGGTGCTACATTACTCACAATCTAAGTAACTGATTCGTGTATAGTTGTTACAGTAGTTAGTTGCATATTGCATACAACGCGTGATGATATGTAGAGTTTATCAGAGGATAAAATTTCTCTCACCGAATAGTATTGTGTCTTTATAACGTAAATGGCATTGTATATTGGCATAATTCATGTAAGAAACCGTAAGTTGCTTTGTTTGGATCATAGGTATTTTGAAAACAAGTGGTTAGAGACTGTTGATTACATGACTGAAAATCTTTCGCGATGGCGTACGCCTGGTGTTGACTTTTTGTCTTCATTCCGATTAGAAATGTTCGCTAATCTGTACTTAATTGTTCTGTATTTCGTACATTTTCGGTCATTGAGGCTCATTACACTTTTTTTCATTTGCTTTTGTGTAATTGTCAAAAGTGTTACAGCTTGAACTAATGCAAGTGACAAGTTTTGTGTCTTCAAGTCAATCAGTTATTCCATTTTGGTATGCTGAATTAATCTCTTCAATTTTCGAAGACTTTTTTCCTTCACGTTCCCCAGTTAAACATATGGCTTCAAGCTAGTGGCTTGAAGTTTCTGTAGCAGTGTTTATTTTACAGGATGGGGTTGCTAACCTCATTCCCAACCTTTCCTCTTTACCAGCATTATTTCTGGCTTAGCGAGGTGAAGGAGTGCATCGGCCGGGGATCGAACCCCGGACCATGTGCATGGTTGGCGAGCGTCCTAACCGTTATGCCACCGGCGCACATTCGGAGACTTAGGGAAAGTAAAAAATGTTTCAGTGCATATCTACTGTGCCTATTGCACCTTACACAGTGATATTACCCAAGTGTCTTCTTAAACCAAATTTAGAAACAGTGGAGTTTGTAGAAGGTGAAATTCACTTTTAATAAATGAATTGTAGCGGTTAGGTTGTAGTAGTAGAAAGTGTTACACCCAAGCATGTATGAAACATGACGAATAAAAACACTATCTGAGTACTGTACATAAATGATAACTCAGACTTAGTCATGTATCGATTTTAAGTATATTGAATTACATCTATTTAGTGCAATTAAAGCCATAGAAGAAAAGAATTTTTAAGCCTTGCACCACAAATGTAATATCATTGTCCAGTACATGAGGTTTGATGTGATTTGTGACCCGTATTTTAATATTTATTTTTTATATTCATTTTCCGGCATTATTTGATTACAGATTTTCTTTCCACCTGCTTAAAGCATTCCTGAACACATTAATGATATTTAAACTGATTTAACTTTAGTTACAATCAGCTTGTTGTTTTTAATTTTTGAAATATGAATAAGCGAAACTATTCCCTTTGTCTTTTAGATTACTTATTATTCTCGAAGTGATTTCAATCATAACAGCCTAATTGATGCTTTGAGAAATGTCATTATGAAATCGAATCCATCAAAATCGAAAGCGCTGCCTACATTCCTCAGTACAACAATTGATACACCATTAATTCAAATGATCAGTGACTATAGTCAATTTGTAAACACATTTCACTATGGTTGGCGTCGTGATAGTCGGCCTAGAATGCTATTCATTAAACCGTTAGCACTGCCACCATTGCGTTATTGTATTGCTGCTTTCAAAGCTGCAGATCACTTAGCCGCAGGATATATTAATTCTGAGGCTGAGAATAATTATGAATTAATTAAAAAATTTAATGTGAATCCAGATGAGGTTAGTTTCAGTTCAGTGATTAACTGACGTCATTTTTTTAAAAATGGCTTCGTAAAATTGTCTTATATTATCGTAAGTTTCTTGTGGCTAGTTGAAGACAGCCTTTTTCATTGAGTTGTCTAGATTGTTTGCTATTTTTACAAATTTAGTAGTACATTGGTTAGTCCCTACCACATTTGTGGCTCATAACTTTCACAACCGCTAGATTAAGACTGATTCAAACTATCTGACAATCTGATTTGATTTACTTCTTAATTATAATTTGCCAACTGAATATAGTTTCAGATACTAAGCTGTAAGTGTCATCTATTGTGTGTTCGCGTGTGCGTAGGGGTGGGTTAGAGGTTAAGAAGAGGGAGATAGCTTATGTCCATTTAAATCGGTCGACAAATTCATGACCCATTATAAACCTATTCAGTACTAATAGTGGAAGAAAATCATAAACAAATAATATTTGGATGATCATGTGAACATAGTGAACTTGGATTATTAAGTTGGTGGTGAAAGTAGGGCGTGTCAGTAGATGTATTAGTTCAACCCAAGTAGTAATTGGTAGCAGTTTGAAATACCTACAGTTCCACTAACATACCATAATGATGGCAAATTGGTTGTGACAAAATCAGTAACGATTTGTGATTATTGGTTTTTCAGTTGAAGATGAAATTAAGTGTTGGGAATGTGAATTATTTATTTAGACAATAACGTTGGAGATTTTCAAGTATTCAGTGAAAAATGTTATAAAATACGCACTCCAAGATGAAGATGACACAATTACATTTGATCTTTCCGGGAATCCTGTTTTCTGATTTGACACTAGTAACTAGTGTGATGTGTCTAGTCCCCTCATTGGTGCAGACTGGCGAGCTACTTAGAATGGTGGCCACATCACAACCTGACTGATAGAATCCAGTCTGCACCAATAAGAGGACTATACACATCACACTAGTTACTAGTGTCAAATCAAAATATCCACCACAGTCCTACAGGAGGTCGATTGCGAGCCCGAATAGCTCAGTGGTAACGTCTCTGACTGCAGCACTGGGTGACGCGGGTTCGAATCTCAGAAGGGACATGAGTTCCTTCAAGGTTGCAGATACGCCTTGCTGACGAGTGCCAACTAGCATGAAACCTAGGTCCAAGGCTTCCTGCCGATTGCCTTCAACCATCTAATATCATCAAATATTGTTTTTTGCTGTAGACCAGACTTGTAATCTTGACGTCGTTTATTCTGTTTAAGAAAATTTTTGCATTGGTTATTAATAGGAGAAGCCATGATGAAATTTCACGATTGAGTTTCATTTTAATTATGGTTTCATATCTCGAATTTCGTTTAATTTAGTTAATCAGAGTGGGTCCACCAAGTCAGGTAAGAGACCAGTTAATCGCCTCTGACATTGTCTGATGGTCGCGTTATATATATATATATATATATCCACTCGTTGTGACCTATGATTTCCAATGAAACTACATTGTTCTTCATTACTTCTATTTCTTGGTCTCACACCTCTGTTTACTGTCTCTGTTATGCATTTCTTCTACCTTCTCCTCTTGCTTTGTGTGCTACATGGAGTGTGGGGACTTGAACTGCCGCACATCGGTGCAAAGCTCTATGTCGAAAACAGACATATATTATATATATAGCGGATTGGCAGAAGCTGGAATTCATGAACCTCTGGATCGCGTCCCAGTGGTCGAATAGTTGACGAACATGCCTTGTAATCGGAAAGTCATGGGTTTAGATCCCAATGAGTACGTACTGATGATGAGTCCCAAACTAGGAGGAAACGGCTGCCCACTACTCCCAGATTTTCCAGTGGCTGTCTAACTGATGTCAGCTCATGATGAAATCCTGCAACAAAAGTATTTTATTATAAACTACTGAGCATAAATCAAGTTTTTCTCTCTTTCTATTCAATTCTGCTACTGTTACAGGAGACATTTTTAATATTCCATGAAGACTCAAATGTACCAGTGTATCGTCAGACAGCAAGTAAATTATCTCCTTCTACTCTAGACAATGCAATGTTAGCCTATAGTCAACTACTTGTACCAAGAGTATATAGTCGTGCTCGCCTGTTAGATTTATGCCCAACTGATGGAAGTGAACCAGCTAGTAAATATGCACAAGAATCTGATAAACGTTACAGCCAGTCATCATATCATCATTATTCACCCAATCATCGTCATATATGCCTAGTACTTTTATTAAATTCACGACAATTGAATATTGAACAAATCCATAGTCTTGGTGACATTTGGTTAACAATGTTTAGTCGTACTGTGGAAACATCTAAAAAAGATTTATTAAAGTTATATCATATTGGTCAAAGTAACTTTCATTTTATGCCTGTATATATTTATGCTGATCGTCAAATTGAGTTAATGACTAGATTGAGTAAATTCTCCTCATGCTCAGAGGAATCGTGTAATTTAATTAGTGAAGGTGAGTTTTTGCAAACAATTTTTTTTCGTAGGAAGTTGTTTTCTGAATGTTTGAATAGTTATTGTTAATTAAACTTCAGTTATTTTGAATGATTCTATGCTGCTGCTGGTTACAATATAATTGTAATTCTACTATTTGCAATTGGTTAGTTTCATATACTAGTATCTCGTTTATACAATTATATACTACCTCCACGCAAAAACTGTTCACTACAGTATACTTATTATTGTTATTATTATTATTATTACCTTGGGTCCCGAGTTTAAACATACTTCAATATTTAGACAACTGAGAGAATCTATGCCCAGTGAATGTACTATTACTATTCCCTTGGGTTCCGAGTAGAACAGCCATCTCTGTAGTACTAGCTTACGTCCTCCTTCTACCAATCAAGCCTGAACTCATATTGATGTCAGTTTCAGCAAGCGTGGATGCATAAAGGACTACTGCTCCTTCTGGAGCACATGTCTTTAATCCTAACATGCTTTAGTACACCAAGTTGTTCGTGCTAATTGATGTTATTTATAAACAGCGTCCCCTTTAAAATGATGTCAGTAAACTGGTAACACCTTCTACCTCTGCGAAGTACAAGTTGAACTCAAGGCTATTTTATTACTATTATTATTATTGTTCCCTTGGGTTCCGAGTGGAACATAGAACTTCAACAGCATATATCCACTTTATCCTATTCCCTGAGGTCCTCTTTAGCCGATGCCACGATTGCGCATAGTTTCACATCTCGTCCTCTCACGATGTTTGTGTTACTCTCGGACTTACTCTCAACTCGTTGCTTCCACTTGAGCGGTGGTTTGGCAGGCTATGTCATTCGACAGTCTCCTGAGCGTGTGTCCAATCCGTCTCTATTTTCTTCGGAATATTTGTTGAGCAACAGGTTTATGGTTGGTTAGTTCCCGTAGTTCCTTGCTGCTAACTCCTTCCGGCCATCTTGTCTTCAGTATGGGACTACAGTATACAGCAGTGTAATATTCCTCCTGCTGGTGACCGTATTACATGCTTGGTACATGAAGTCTTATCATCCCAAAAAAATCATGCATGATAGCAAAATTCAAGTATTTAGGTCTGAATAATCCGACGGAAACGAGTTTAACATGACTAAAGCAAGTCACTGTATTATCCTTTATAGCTTGCAAGATTCTTTGGGTCACACAAACAGTCAGTGATAATACTGAATAAGAAGTTTAAGCGTCTGTTAATCTTCACGTTGTAATAATGTAACAGACATCACAAATCATATCGAATATTGTATATCGAGCGATGAGCCCTACCTTCTTAGGTGTTTACTATCTCAAAAAGCATCCGTTATTCGGGTGAAATTTACGCTCTTGAAGTTATTGGATCTTAATATGAGTCCTCAGTTCAGTAAACTATAGTTGCATTGAGTATAATGATAAACGGAATGTGTTTGACTAACCGAAAGACTGGTAGTTTCTTTAGTTTTAAAGATACTTTTTTTCGAATTGCTTAGATTTATACTTTTTTAATGATTTCCTCATATTAAGGGTTAAAACTGAGTACAAACGACTATTGAAATTGTTTACTTTAACATAGTATGAAATCCTGAATTTCATGGGATTTTAGATTTTCCCGTCGATTGATTGGATCGAAGTACTTGGTCTCAGGTTGACATGTCAGCTTCTTGTACAGATGCTTCGACGATGTTTAGGCATCTATTTAGAGGTAAAGTGGTGGTTGGTGACTAGCAGTGGAATCCAGGATGTGCATTTTGTCCTATTTGGGACTCGTCAGCTTTGGCGTTTGAAACTATGGGCAGTGGGTTCGAGCCTCGGTGGGAACATCACTTCGGAATGCAGGTACATCCAGACGACGAGTCCCAAATGAGACGAAATGCTCATCCTGGATTCCACCGCTAGTCACCATCCACCAATTAACCTCTATTTAGTGTGTTGTTTATGCTGATTCGATTCATCACTTTTCTATGAATAACGTGTATAGATATAAAGGTAGTACAAAGAAATATGACATGTTTCAGAAGACTTACTGTTATATATCTATTGATTTATAAAAGCCACTAGGTGGGAAAGGCGTTCAAGATATCTCGTGAAATTTACATTCATCTGTTTTAGCCATTCAGCATACTTCAATTCAAAAGGCTAACTTTATATCCTCTGGGTATGTAGTTAACGACAATTTTGATTGGTTGATGTTAACACCCTATCATCCCACTGGAATATGCTTAGTGTTCAGTTATATTAGGTAATGTACATCTTAATCGTTTAAGTCGCTGAAGCTTCATAACCTTGTCCACTGATATAAATAAATTTTTTTACGTAGTGATTTACACTTGGAATCCGTATTAAGCATTTTTTTAGTCTTCACATCAAACGGATGCTTTGAAGTTATCAGCAAATAGATACTCGAGGGGTAGGCTGAACATATCTTTCACATTAGTTATTCAAGTTTCGTTTCTTTTAGGTAGTATAGAATTGACTTCTGTATGAAGTACATTTACCTCTTCAATAGGCATTAGAACATGTCGCTTGCTAAACAATTTTTGCGTAGGCTAACCAAAATCGAATAAATTTCGCTTGATTAGCGTTTGACATTTATCTACAATTCTGATCCATAGTATCACTGAAGGTGTTGTTGTCAACTGTTTCAGTATTAAAAAAATGGTTTTTGTTTGTTTTTTTCCAGTTGCGCAATTCCAAAATACTTATAACTATTTTCGTAATATTATTACGGAAGTTCTTCGGATAATGCTTAACCAGCATTAGCTTGACTTATTTACTTACTACTGGGCAGACGTGAAGAACCTAGAAGACCTGGATTTCACGGATGATTTATGTTTGATGTCACACAAAATCTAAGACTTACAAGCGAAAACCGACAAACTGGTCGAAGAAGCAGCTGGTTAAGACAGGACTGCAAGTGAACATGGACAAGTTATGAAAATAACTAACCAACAACAGCAGCAGCAACATCCAGCTCCAATCACCATCAACGGGAGGGATTTGAAAGAGGTTACTTCATTCACTCACTTATCTAGGAAGCATTGTCTCAATTACAGGCAGTCGGAACGGACAAGGATGTCAAATCGAGCGAGAATATGGAAGGCGAGAAACACACTCATCAACCTGAAACCAATCTGGAAATCTTCGTCACACTCAGCATCAACAACAAAATTCGGTTGGATTTCCAACACAAACGTCAAGTCAGTTGTATACGGATCAGAAACTTGGCTGGCGGGTCACAAAGAATATTTCCAACAGGCTATTGCAGACCTTTATCAACAACTGTCTTCGCTGGCTCCATACTGAAGATCAGATGGCCGGGTCGGAAAGAATCACCAACAAGGAACTATGGGAACAAACAAAACAAGAACCAATCGCCAACTAACAAATATGCGGGAGAAAGTGGAGATGGATCGGACACTGGCTGAGGAGACTGCTGGGTGACATCGCGCGCGCGTCAGGCCATTGCTCGAGTGGAACCCGAAAAGGAAGCGGTGATTTGGTCGTCAGTCCAAGGATGACATGGAGGGGATCGTGTGAAGAGGAGTTGAAACAGTATGGACTAACATGGATGCAGGTGAAAAGTACAGGAGAAGACAGAAGTGGCAAGTGGAGACGTGCAGTTGAAGCCCTATGTTCCACTAGGAACCCAAGGGAACAATAATAATAACTATAAGTATGTTTTCAGCGAATTTTTATACATGGGATGTTGTACTTTATCCTCTTCTTCTCCTTTCTTCATTACTCTTAAGATAATATGGGTCGTTTAGCTTTGATTTGGCGTATCAGTTCAACGGAGACTGTGTATCATCTTCTCCCGGATAATTCATTATCTCATCCACGAAAATATATAAACCAAGAGACTTTTAGACAATCTCCACCAGATAAAACTATGAAAATGCGAAAAGCTGTTGAACAAATGTCTATCGCTTTAATCAACGACTTGAAAGATGTCGTGAAAACGATAAATGATAATAAAATGTATTCATCAAGTCAACTGTCTAATTCAATTGGAAAACTGAATGATTGGTATCTACTAAAAGATTGCATGATTGAAGAATTAATTGTCGATGAATTAGTCGCCTCAATATGGATTAGACTACGAAATAGATTATTACAGATTTTTGTCGATATTGGACATTGGTTATTTGAGTAAGTTATTATATTTATTGGTGTACTTGGCTTGTTACCAGTCCTTTTTACCCTCATTGACGATGATTGTGGCAGTGAATAATTTGTGTGTGCCTATGGGGAATTGCAATAGTGCTTCCTGTGTTGTGTATAAATTATGTATGAATAATGCGTTTTTAAGATGGCTAGAAGCCATATCTGTCAAGTGAATTTAGTGTGTTGCTACTTGATACCGAATACTTAGCAACAAATTTAAACGTGTGAGATATCTGTTGAAGGGCAATTGTTTATCCTATTTATCTGAGTTTTCCTGCATCTGATTTCTTTGTTAAACTATCACTTAGCTAGAGAACTTATTTGTCACGTTATGAGCTACTGTGTTATTGTGGAGGTTGATGAATACTCCTCAGTTAATTAAGGTAAAGTAGATGAAGTAGGATTCAAATTCAGGACTCTCGGATTGGAAGTCAAATGGTAAATTCAATAAGCTAAACTTCTACAATAGTAGTACTAATTTAAATGTTAAGAAATGATTGGAGTGTTACAAAAAATAGTAAAATATGCCAATAAACTTTTAACGAATATATCATAAAATGACTAATAAGTGTTCTTTTGTTATTGCAGAACTCCTTTGTAGTATACATCATAGAATGTTTAAAAAAAAATGAATTGCGGGCCTCCATCAAAATACCGAGTCTCAGTATTACTTTCATTACATTAGCACTTTTACTAACTGTGTATCACGATTTCTTTGCATATTGAACTGTGGTTAGCATGATTGCAGTCTCGCAAACTGCTACACGTACTTTTACCTGAACAATTTGATACTATTGAAAATCTTTTTAAGTTAAATATGTTGCATAAAATCGCACATAAGTTTGTTCCAGACCACAGTTGTCTTCGTTCGATACTGCAGGTCAGATGGCTAGAAAGAATTAGTTACAGGGAACTCTAGGAACAAACGAACCGAGAACCTGTGGTTCAACAAGTATGCCGAAGAAAATGGAGACAGACTGCACAGACGCTTAAGAAACTGCTGAGTAACATCGCGCACTAACTGGGTACTCTAGTAGTGAAACACAAAGGGGAAATGACTAGTTCGGCCAAGCAGGATAACATGCAGGAGATCGTGTAAGGAGGAGATGAAAGCCCATGAGCAATCATAAAGCTAGCTAAAACGGACTACGTAGAACAGGATGAAATAGAGATGTGCTGTGGAAGCCCTATTTTTCACTCGAAACCTGAGTAGTGAACTTGTTACGTTCTAGTCTGATACGCTTCTTCAGCGTCCAACTATGAACGCACTGGGGATAGAACACAGAACCTTTAAGTTATACGGTGAACTCGTTTATCATTCAGCAACTCCAAAGAAATCTAACGCCTCATGAATTCCAACTTCTATCAATTTGTGATTTATCGCACCGCCACCAGCCAATGTCATTTATTGAGTATTTCTCTTCATATCCGACCTGGGGAACACTTCACTGGTGACAACTTCTAATTGAAACCCTCCTGTACTTCTTGGTTTTCAATAATTCTCTAATAGATGTGTCAATCCGTGATCTAACTTTCAACTTCGTTGGTGCTGGTTTCTAATGAAAACCCATTTTACTTTTAGTGGACAATATTTTTTATTCATACCGCTTATCACCTTATGCTTTCGGCGTATGATTTGCAACCGAATGAATGTTTTCCTACTACTCTTCACCTCACCTCACTTACACAGACTTGAATGAGATACCTGTGTTTGTGTGTGTATGCGTGTGTGTTTTACATATGTTTGTTTTTGTTTTAATGAGGTAGATAAGTTGGTATAGTTATTTGTTAACATCGCTTTCTTCCTCTTTTCTCTTTTTTTTACAGCCTTGCAAATCATCCATTGGCATTTGTATTTTCTAGTTTTTTGATTATCATTGGATTATTACTATTCAGTTTATTATCAACAATATCACAAGGCATGACATATGAACAAGCTAAGCATAATACAAAGATGTCTAACAATAATAATAATAACAATAATAGTAATAACAGAAAAGGTGAAGAAGAAGCCACCAATACAACGGCTACTCCTAGTGGTGGTAGTAGTCCATCTCCAAGTCAATCCACTAGTTATTCAGACACGTATGCATCTTATGAAGAGTGATTTAATCATTTTATCTTCTTTTTAAAAATTTGTTTGAGTCACTTTGCATTTCTCATTGATTGATTGACTGCACCGAAATACTATGTCGAGATGTCAACTCCGTGTACGGATGTTTCAACCATGTTTTAAGATAAGTATGATGTTATTTTTGTCTTAATGTTGGAGGCTAGCACACAGTGAGACGCACTTTGTGGAATCGGGCACTCGTCACATGGATGTAGCTGTATCTCCAAGGAGTAATAATGTTTTTCCCGCTGGGACTCGAACCCAAGGTGTAATTAGAGAGTACATCTCTTATTTTCACTGGTAGAATACTGCCAACCTATGAATTAGAAGGCTGGTGATTGTATCTTGTCTCATTCTGAATTTGCCTACTGCTATCTGTTACATCAATGAAAGACATCAAAAATACCAAATAAGATTGGGAAAATAGTGTAAATACGCATTAGCTTGGATAGTATAAATTTTTGAAAGTTGCCTAAAATCTGTCACTCTTCGATTATCAGTAAGCTGAAAGCAAGCTTGTCATACTTAAATGATGAATGACATGACGTGTTGAATTAATTCAAAAACGCAGAAGACTGCTGAATAACGAGGCATTGATAATACGACCGCTGGAAGTTATATAGCAAGAAAAGTAAAACAAAAATAAATTTAATCTTATTACTATAATAGTTCTTTTTTCTCTTATTGATTGCTTAGATCATCTACAATAACTCCAGTCGTAGCTTTAAATCCTTCTACATATGATCGCCTAATTCGTGATGCGCCTAAAGGTTTTAGAGTATTAATACTCTGTATCCGTGGTACTGGTACGCCTCAGGATGATAGATTACGTGATCAGTTTGGTTTTGTAACTCGTCGTGTCTGGTAAGTTAACTGTAACTTTTTTTTTGTAACAGTATTTTCAAAATGATAAGTGAACTCTGGTGTGAGATTTTTTTTTCATAGTTGATACAAAAATTGCCGTATATACCACAGCTCCCTTCAAAGGGTTGACACTCATCAGCAAGGCATTTAAATGTGTAGAACTTTACGTCTACGTTTTTTTTTCACATTTGTTCTAATCAATTAAAATGTTATGCTTTATGGTGTAATGCAGGGTTCGTTAATTTCCTGTCGACTAGTGTTCAATTTCTCCCCAATGTTGAATAATGTTAGTTTGTCCAAAGTAGCATACAATAAATGCTACTGTTATCACTCAGTTCGTGCGTCAGTGGTTCATAATTATGGATAATACTAAAGTTTTATTTCAGACTATATGTGAAAATATATTACAGAAATCTTCAACGTATTTAGTTCCGAAATACTTCCCTCGTTATACAGGATTTAAATCAATAATCTAAATCATATCATCATATGCCGTAGCGTTGTTGCACATAAAGAGAAAACAAATTCAGTACATTTTTTCTTCAATTCTTTCAAGAATTTCGTAGCCTTTAGTTAGGAAACATTTGAATATGCACGCGAGTTCATGTAGTGTTCATTTGATATAAATGTATGGTTAAAACAGTAAGAAATGCAGAAGAGTTTAAGCACTTTGATGGATGCAAATTCTGATAGCCCAATGATTTAAGCAGGCCGTCTAGTAGGCGGCTGTAGGACGCTAGCTAACCACCCATGTGGTCTAGTTTTCGACCTCCGGTCGATGCACTCCTGTACTTCACTAAGCTCCGGTAGTAAGGCCGGTAAAGAGGAAGGGTTGGGTGTGAGGCTAGCAACTCTACCTCGTAAAGTTAAAACCACTGCTACTGAAACTTCAATTCTCCAACTTGAAGCCCAATGCTCCACTAGGTGGAACGCAAATGAATAAAATAATCGTAATAATTGTTCGTCTTAAGTGTGATAAAGTAGAGTTATTAGGTCAAAAACGGTTGACACGTGCAGATTTTGACTGATGGGAGAGACCTCAGCAATTACAAATCATCGGTTGGCTGTCATGGTTTAACATTGTTCGCATTAGCACAAGTCTATTCACTCCTTGTCACCTTCTACATGGCGAATAGCTTCAGTAGTATCTCAGTTGCAACCACATTTTTTGATTGTAGCATAATTCTATTTCTTTATTTTGTGCGCTTCTCTGAAACAGGCCAACTTGAATTCATACTCTTCCGTGCCAAGTTCTAAATTATTCCCTTAGTCAGTCAGTCAATCAATGAGGTTTATATCCTCTTAACAATCAAATTCATGCGTCTTAGCACAATAACAACACGTTTCCCCTTGTTACATTTTACTCGATTTGTTGTATAGATTTAGCTTCTGGCTTGTAGTACTTGGATTGCATCTACTTCTATCTAGGAGACTGGGAATATTAAAAACTTCTGTACAAAAGTGTTACTCTTAGTTCTGATACATGAAAAAATTTTACTGGGTGGTAATTAATTTTGGACTAGATTAGGTTGATTAGTTGGTGCACCGTGGTTTTTCGTTTCGCTAATCAATCGCATTGCTGGCTTGCTGTGCTGTACTGTGCAAGTAAAGTGATATATTCCAATGTCTCCCAAATGCCTTTATATATATGCAGTTTTCTCATTTTCTGGTTCGCGTATTCGTTTGGTAATTAGTTTGTCCAGAGAAGTAAATTACAAGTTTTATGGTGTTGTTTCTATTTCTTGTTCGATATTGCATCATCCAGTACAGTTGTCAATTAATTACTGAAGTCAAACTGAAATTTATGATCGTTTTTAAAAACTTAATACATATTATGTAATTGGCCATGGCAAAGAAAGGAGCTGTACAAATTTCTTTTCAACACACAGATTTGGCTTATTTACATGAATCCCGATTGTCTCTGATGTATGTAAAGGACCATTTTGAGAGCTTGGGTGATATACAACAAATAACTGTAAAAGTTTTCTTAGAGTCGACTTAAGAGAGTATGGTCCTCTTAAAGATGTAATGTGTAATCTTGATTTCTATTGACGATAAGTTGATGATACACTTATAGTTGTGGAGAGCGAAAGTGAGACCAAGGACCTATTGGAGAAATTCAATAAACCATATCCTGGCATAAGCTTCACTAAAGAAGAGGAAGAAGATGACTCTATCTCCTTTTTGGACGTCATAATGGCTAAATGAACAGACAGAACAATATGTAGACGTTTGTATAGAAAACCTACTTCCACTGGGCAATATACTCACTTCCTGAGCTTTGTAACTCTACAGTGCAAACGTAATCTGGTTAGATGTCTGGTTCACCGGGCTAGAGTTATCTGTTCAAATGAGACACTGAACGAAGAACTCGGTAATATTCGTCATCTACTAAGTAGAAACGGATATCCAAATAAATTCGTGAACAAACATGAACTCAGAAAGTAAAAAGTCGAAAGTACCTACTGTTCCCGAAAATCAGTCTTCCTAAAGTTACAATTCACAGGTGATGTCAGTAGTGAGATCGTATCACAGCGTCTGAAAAGGGCCTTTGAAAGGACTTTCTATGCAGCTAAGTTATGCCGTGTATTCACTAGCCAACCAATACTTATTTCAAGAAATAAAGACAGACTTCCCTGTTTCACCTCTTTCATGTGTATTTACCAGTTTAACTGCTCGTGTGAAGCTAGGGGGTACGATTAGGCAAGTTCATCGTCGAATTTCTAAACACCTCCCATCTTGGTTTGCCAAAGGTTCGAATAAAGCTATACGCAGCTCACTACTAGCTTATCTCGTCGATACTGGACATCAAGTCGACTCTGACAAAGCTTTTAAAGTTATCGTATATCACGCAACCTTTCACATGGTCTACGAGTACAACTTTTACATACAGCAGAATTAATCGGAATTCATATGAACAAGCCAAATCTATGTGTTCAAAATGAAATTTATGGGTCGCTAATAGGCTAGTGTACTGTGAACCCTCGAGCCCACGGATCTATCAAGCTGTTATTGATTTAATAATAAAAAATGCACATAAGTGTACACTTATAAAAAACAGGTCAGGAGAAAGAAGATATTTAATGGAAATATAGTGATTAGAGATGCACGGGGGAAAAACAAGTAAATAAAGAGTGATGGAAATCTTCAGAACTTGGAAAATGACATGGTGTGAGTAAAACTACAACATTGTAAACGATTTTCAGCTATGCCAGAAGAAGTCATTAACTGTCTTTTCTCAGCATCATTAGGACTCCAGACAGGTAGTCTACACCTCCCTTCAATTCTCCAAGCAACAGTCAGTAACTCAATTGATTGATGTCATGCTTCAGTCCGACCCTTTCTGACTTTTATTTTGCAATGTAATCAGACTTCGCTAACATCTCACACTGAGGTAGACAATAGTTTGGCATTCTTACCACGTGTCTTATGCAACTCAGTCTATGGAGCTTCACAAGCTCATCGGTTGATTTTCCTACCTTACTTTCATACCTGGGAACTACTGGTTGTTAAATATTGATGCCTTCTTTTCAACGTTCATGTTAACTAAAGCAAAATGATGGGCAACGGGTGACTCAGACATGGATTCTTATACATAGGAAATATATAATTCAATCACAGAATATGAAGACTGAGCGGAGAAATGCATACTTTTCAATTAAATTCTCACCTCTCTTTAACCACTTCTCTTGCTTTGTGTGCTACATGGAGTGTGGCAACTCGAACGGCTGCACATCTGTGCAAAGTTCTACGTTGAGACCAGACCGTGTCAGTCACTCTCATCTCTGCCTCTACTCTAATATAAATAGCATTTTTAATACATTGCATAAAATTTACTAATCTAGTGGCGATGAGTATGTTAACAGTAATTAATCAATATCAACAAATCAAGTGGGTGATAATTAACCAAGAAAGTTAATACAAATAATTAACGCACAGAAATGATTTCGAGTGGATTGCATAATGAAAAATTTGGTAAGAAAATAGAGTAACTAAGGTAGTGCTCAAGTTGGTTACGTAATGGACAATTAAGGATGAAGTAGTCATAATTTGACAATGATAACTTGGAAAAGGTTGAGAGCAAGGGCAAAATTGTCAGGTTTTTACACTTGTGTAACAGTGGCCAAGGTAAGGAGAGTAGCTGTACGAATTTCTTCTGAACACCCAGGTTTGGTTTCTTCAAGTGGATTCCTATGGCTCCAGATTCATGTACAAGACGAACTCGTAAAGCAAAATCAATATTAGTCGGGATGCGGTAAATCACTTCAAATGGTTTATTGACCCCAGCTTTATGCTCACCACCTACAAGATGTGCTAAAACAGGGCTACGAATAGATGTGGTTTGTTCCTTACTCAGCCATGCAGCATGATGTTGGTAAATACGATAATAAACCTGCCTAATTATACGCATAATGAGACTATCTCCACTGGAGCAGTCAAACTAGTAGGTACACAAAAAGGAGGTGAAATTAAGTAGTTTTTGGTTATTTCTAGAACTTGAAATCGGAGTAGTTGTGAAAAGACAGCGCACTTTTGCTGCATTGAATGTTGTTTTAAGAGTATTTTCCAGGCGCTGTGTTACTATTTCGCTCATGTTATCACAAAGATGCTGCAGTTTTATGAACAAAGGCTTTTTTAGAGCTGTTGCCATATTAATTTGCCGTGGCTCTAAATTCATATTTTGATCAATGAAGTCGTCTGAATAGCCATTTTTACTAAGTAAGCCTCTGATAATCATAAGCACCTCATTGACGAAATCGTTTGAGCAGACTGTCATAGCTCTACGATTTAAACACTACCAACTTGCTTTTATATACTTCAAAGATGCGAAACTCAAAAACTGAGTGTACTCACCCGTTGTTGTAGGTTTTATATATTCACTGCTTCTTAGCCTACCATTGTCTTACTTGGTCAGAGAGACGACGAAAAATCAGTGCACTCAAATAGGCATTTTCCCTACACAGACTATAGATCTTATAGGTAGTTTGGACATGTTATTTTTATATTGTGTTGTCACGTTTCTCAGTAAGTAATATTAACCAATGCAGAATTATGTTTGGAAAAGGTTTTTAGGTATTCAGACCAAAACATGACGCCGTTACATGAAGTCACTCGCTGTCAGTGTGTGAACAGTACATTGAAATGTTAGTTGCCAGATGGAAACCCTCAGAATAGTGAAAAAGTCATTCTCAATGTTATTGGGTTTCCATTCCTTCAAGCTTAAATTGTTTCCGGCAGTTTTCGTTTACTTTCGCTTATTCACACACGCTTGTCCATTATAGTGTCTTTATCTTTATATTCTTTTCTATTTTGTATGATAGTTCGAACAGTGGTAACTTAGACTGAAATATTCCAAGTCAACTTGTTTGCTACCCTATCTTTTTTACATTTTGGAATTAGTTTCAGTAAAGTGCACACGTTTGTTTTGTTCTCTTGTTCTCTAGTTTTGTGTCTCCGCCTTTCTTTTACAAAATTTAGTGGAACACAAATCCAGCGTGCTTGTCTCTCGATGGATCGATATGCTGGTTGGCTTGCAAAACTGCTCGAGTCAACTAGATCTAATTTTCCCGTTCGTATTCGTACAAATGGCAGTGTATGTAGAAATAGACAGCAGTTAAAAGAGGGGAATACCTGCAGTAGTAAAGTTGGCACATTGTTTATCAATCCAGTAAATTGTGTTGGCACAGTGATTGCTGTCAACGGTTACCGACGATATTTCAACCTCTATCATCCATTAATACCTGGATCTCAAAGTAGTTCTGATGAAGCTGATGTAAGTTATTCTAATTTATGTTATTTAATATTTTTTTGCATCTGAAATCTCTTTCTTGTTGTTCGTTTTAATGTAAATATTGTACTCTTTAGCCAATCATTTTAGATTACAAGTTTAAATAATGCCTCATTTGTCAATCTTTAAGCAAAACTTAAAAATTTTCATGAAACCTGTATACCATTGCTGAAAGTTGATTAGGTTATATTCTATAGTCTGTTGAATCTGCCTACATTTAACTTCAGCGTGAATAAACCTTAAGAAATTCTAGTTTATTGACTTTTGCAACATGTTCTCAGCTTATTTCTCAAATTCTCTCCAACCCTGCAAGCTAAAATTTATAGGACTCATCTTCTATTTCATACATGACTAATTTACTTAGGCAATCGACTATCAGCTGATGCGTCCAGGGTTGAGATTATCACAACAGAATGAGTTTTTGACTTGCGTTTACACTTAAATGCTAACTTCTATTTTAGAATTTCTCACAAACTTTTCAATGTGAAATTTTAAGTATTTTTTTTAAGAAAACGGCGTTTTGAAACCTACTTGGTTAGTTTGCAAAATGTCAGTGAATAATTTAAAAACTTACAAAGTAATGGTTCATTTCTTGTTAGATTTCCACAGCTTGGTGGTAATAACAACCAGACTTTATATTATTATTATTATTATTCCCTTTCGTTCCCAGTAAGAAATACGCCTTCGATACCACTTCTCCTGGCCGTACCACTGCCCGTAGTCTTTCATTTCCTTCGCGCACGATCTCCTCCATGTCTCTCTCGGACTCTCTCTCAACTCTTTGTTTCCCACTCGAGTTCCACTCGAAGGCTTGGCACGCGATGTCATTTGACGGTCTTCTCAGCATGTGTCCGATCCATTTCCATTTCTTCCACATATTTGTTAACTAATAGGTTCTTGGCTGGTTCGTATCCAGAGTTTATTATTTATAATTCTTTCTGGCCGTTTTATCTTCACTATGGAGCTAGCGAAGATAACTGTTGCTAAAAGTCTGCAGCAGGCTGTTGGAAATGCTTTTTGTGACTCGCTGGCCAAGTTTCTGACCCGTATAGGCGAAATGACTGACATAACACTGGTATTAAAAATCCGAATTTTATTCTTTATGCTCGTTAGTGCAGAAGATTTCCAGACAGGTTTTAGAGAAAGGTGGAGGTCCGTCTTGCCTTTACGTTTCTATGCCACCTGTAGTTGAAACGATGCAACTCTCTGTTTGCTTAATTTATACGAAAGTCGTATGATATGTGTATATGCTGATGATGGCGGTTTTCAGCCATTTAGATTTTACATTGGTTTGGACTGTTTTCTCCATAATTGTACACTTTTTTATCGTAAAAGATTCTGCACATTTTGACTTTGATTGTGTTTTAATCTGTAACTGTCACTTTGTATCAAAAAAGCCTTTTGATTTTGATTCAAGTGTAGCATGTTTACTATCGTAAGATAAGTTGAAGGTGAATTTTGCGGTGACGAATTTTGAGTCTAGTTAAAACAGCTGTCTGGAACTCTTTCGATCTTCCTGGTATTAGTACTCAATGTTGGTTTTCTGTAATATTCAGTACTGAAAACTAACGACCATGCTACTTTAGGTGATTTAGTCGCAATTTATATATCACATAGAAGCATTTACCTATTAAAATCGTGTTAACCACCCTGTTCTCTAGAGACTTCAGTGAAAATGGTTCTCTTGGAAAAAGGATGTCTAACGATAATTTTACCAAATTATTTGTTATTATGTTCTTCAGTGTCCATCAGAGTGCTTTGCAAGTCGATTTCTGTGAACCAGTCTAAACAGTATATCACTGCTGCAGCATGTTGACTTAGCCTCTACATAGTAAGTGAAAATATGCATACCTACAGAAGGATCTTTTGTTGATGTTTTGATGGGTAAAAACATTTGCAGGTGAAGTAAAACTGTGATATTCAGGGAAATATTCTAGCGACTGTACTACTTTTGAACTTCAGGTTCATAAGCCACATTTGGTGATGTCACTGATTGATTTGAATTGCCTCCTGGATGCCATTCAGGAAGTTGTAAGACACTAACAGATCTTAATGCAGCACTGCTGTCCTTTAGTTCCACGGCACCACATCGTAGACTGACAAGATGTAACTGTAAATCGTAATGGTGCATTCTCCTGTTCTTTCCTTTCTAAAGGTTATATGAAGTGAGGAACCATCCTTCGAATGCTCATGAGATAGGTTTGCTCATTTGTTTTCTTGATTATTATTATTTATTATTATATCCTTTAATTCCTAGGGGAACATAGGGCTTCAGCCGTGCGTCTCCATTGCCTTCGGTTTTCTGCCAACTTTTTCACCCCGCTCCAAGTCTGCCCACATGCTTTCATCTCCTCTTCACATGACCTCCTCCAAGTCACCCTTGCACTGACGACCAACTCGCCGCTTTCCTTTCTGGTTCCACTCGAGCGATGGCTTGTCTAGTGATATCACTTGATGGTTTCCTCAGCGTATGGCCAATCCATCTCCATTTCTTCCTGCCTATTTGTTTCACAATCGGTTCCTGCCAGGTTGGTTCGCTCATTATCAGAGATCCCTCCCTATTGCTGATCTTTTCTGGCCATCTGATCTTGAGTGGTATTGAGCGAAGATAACTGTTAATGAAGGTTTGTAGTTTGTTTGAGATGCTCTTTATGACGCGCCAAGTCTCTGATCCGTATAGTAGCACTATAGTATCAAGTCCGCGTTTAAATTATCAAATAAACAATCAAGTTATTAAGCAGTGGTTTCTTATAATTTCACATACTTATCCATGAGTAAATGTCTGTTTCGAACTAATTTTTTTTTGAAAAGGCTCTATCTATGTATACACTGTGTCTCTTGGGCACTTTCGATAACTTTCTATAACAAGAGGAAGGGGTTCCAGGATTCCTTTTTTTCTGTATAATTGTACGAAATGGTAAGTAGTCAAATCCCAGATGAGCTCACAGGTTTATGTTGTTGAATCGATTCCCGAGATAATCCAATGGTATTTTTTTGTCTCCTTTTTTAAAAATATCTTAACTATTTCTTTCCCTCCCCCCATAGGATTCAGACAGAGAAAGATCATTACTACCATCGGAAACTGGGAAGCGTCTTCGACGTAGACACATTTTTGGTCGTGCATTCGGTTTAGAATCCGATGATGAAGAAGACATTCAATCCGATGGCATTAATAATCGTGAACATTTGAAGTCTAGACATCAAATTAGTGATGGTGCATTATTTGACAGTGAATTGTTAAGTGGATTATCTAATTGGTTGGATCGTTTATTCGAAGGCTCACTTCCTCGTTATAATATTGCAGAATGGCCAGTTGGTCTGCTTGGTGATGATTAAATTAGTAGTATAACAGTGTATTGATTAGGTGATATTGCATAATCCCTTATCCAACAAATCATACATTTCTTTTCATTCCCTTTATATCATAATACTTGAAGTATTTGTTTTTATTGTATGTACCTGTATATCATTGTATGGATATTGATGACATCCCAATTAAGTCAACTAACGTTCAGCATAAGCTAAATACTATTTGGAAAGGGATAGTTCCATTACTGTTAGTTAATAATTTACTATTTATTCTTCGTGATTACTCTTGCCATGATATATGTTAATATTATTGTTAAAAATTCTATACTTTTATTCGTACTTACAGTTACTCGTTTTTTTATTGCTTTGGATTCACCTTTTGTTATGCGTAACAGTCTTTTAAAAATTAGAAATTTGTTTGTATTTATTCTTATCTAGCACTTCACCTGTTTATTTGTTTCAAAAGAATTTATACCTCTGAACGTGTGCCATGGTTTTTTTTAATCTTGGGGTGTATATAACAAACTACAGTGAAAGATTGTCCCCTTGTGAATTAAAATGACCTAATTATCATATAGTTATCAATATTATTCATTCTCTGCATTCTGATTGCAAAATAGTGGTCAGTGACACATGTGCATTACACTCGACTCTATACTGGATCAATGACTCTGACTACAAGCTTTTATCTCCCCTCCCGATGATCTTCTCTATGTAACTGTCGAACGATCAGCCCATCTCTTCCCATTCAAGTTACATTTAAGAGTCTAACGTTTGACTTCATTCAGTGGTCCCCTCAGCGTACATCTAAACAGTCTGGGTTTTTTTTTCGAATGTCTGTTGGTCGATAATTTGACGGCTGGTTTTCCATCAGATTTCCTAATTGTTTATTCTTTTGACCGATCATGTGGTCTTCAGTATCAAGCGAAGGCAACTAACTGTTTGTGATATACACTTCAACTCTTTCAATCATAGAACACATCTCACTGCCTTGAGAGAGATGTGCATATCGGCCTTTTAGCTGTAAATTAGGTTGAGAAATCTGTCTAATTTTAAGTAATGCTAGGTAGTGAGATTTAATAACATGACTTCAGAGGTGTATGAGGACAGTAGTCATGAACTTTTCTGGGTTAATTAAGATATCAGATAATGTTTGGGAGGCAGAGATAATTTATCAGACTGATCCAAATCATTTATTAGATAATTATGAAAGTTTATAAGAAGGGAAATATATCTTTCTATTAAAATCAATAGGTAGTCAGCTTGTCTAACGGTGTTTAAAATTCTAAGTTCAGTAGTCATACATAGGCTAAACAGTGCCCAGAGGAATCAAATCTTTGAAAACTAGAGGGACTTTGTGCTCGGAAAGGCGTGTATTGGTCATATCTTTACCCGTCAACAGATTATGGGATGCAGACTGAGTTCGGAGTGTTCAGCGCTTTCCATACTTGTTAGCGTGACTGTAGCATTTGGCTCCATCGACCAAGGCGTGAAGTATTTCGTCTGTGCTGAACTGAAAAAAGCAATTTAGTCGGGATGACGCAGCCCTGTAACAGCTGTTAAGAAGTTGTCATTTCAAGTGATCAAAATTAGTCTTGTCCTTCAAGGATGTCCATCGTCTCCGTTCTCATTTGATGTATTAATAGATGTGTCCCTTAATGACTTTAATGCCTTAGGAGTTGACTAGTTAGCCGCATCAATCTTATGGATATAGTATAAGCAAGTGATGTAGTCTGTGTAGTTGAAGATCTTGGCGAAATGAGAGATCTTTTGAGCATCTGGAGCAGAAATCTAACTAATGTCGGCATGCGATTCTCCAGTATCAATTGCGGGATGATGCCACAGGACTGGTCTACACCGACTCTTAGTTTAATAACAAGCAGCGAAGTGGTTCGCCGTGTTCACCACTGTACTTATGAATTAGCATCAGGCTTAATGAAGTGACTGCTGATGGAATCTCATCCCAGACATGAAAGTGTGGTTTAGCACTTGTCAAAATACTCCATCTGTCAAGTAGATGTGATATACGGCTAACCACCATAGGGCGTGTGTACTGTGCAGTTGCTTTGCTGTGAGACATGGCCATTGAAAATTAAGGACATCAGAAGGCTGGCTCTCGTTGATCAATGATGTTCCTGCTCTATCTGTAATATTTAGTGGTACACAATAGTGAGTAGTTTTGAGGTTAGCTGTGCAACGTTCAGTGATGACAGCAATATAACTGATGAGGTTGTGAAGGTGGATCTACTAAGATGTCTGGAATACGTGGTACACATGACAAACTATCTCCCTGCTCGACTGGCAATGTTACCTGAAACTGAGCTAGGCTGGGAGGAAGCTGCGGGCGGCCGAGTAAAACCTTCGCATCGATACACGATGTATCAAAACATTTGTCTCAGCCACACATGATGGTATATACTGTGCGGATGAGGTCCTTCTGATGCTAAGAACCAGTCACTTTGGACTGTTGGTGACGTCCCAAAATCATTCTAACTGATAGGGATGCATCTGCTCTTTAAGAGCGCGAAGACTCATTAAATTCTCCTTACATTCCATGAGCTTCTTTACTTGCACATATCTGCAATTATTACTTTATTTGTACAATTTATCCCATTTCGGCTCTTTCCAATTTGTCCCTCTAGCCAGTTTTCATAAGCCAATTGTGGCCTGCCTTCCTCTTGTTCAAAGTTCTGCTTTGAAAATAAGTCAGCGACAATGTGTTTATTATTAATGTTGAAAATTCATGTCCTGTTACTTTTGCTGGGTTCTGTTACATAACCAAAATGTTTTCGAAGTGATGGACTCCTGTTTGCTTTGTTGTTTCAGGCTTTCTCTGGTGCATTTTTGCGTGCCTCCGACATTTGAGGTGACGCTGTATAGGGTAGTGAAAGGGATAACTTCCAGTGGAATTCTCCCTTTGACGACTTTCTACATTTGTTTTCTCCTTCGTCTTCACTTGAAATCTTGTCATCGCGGTGTCTCATGCTTCAGTTCAGCACAATCAGGGAAATCAAGGACGGCAATAGGTGATTTTAGCTTGCTCCATTCTACTCTTCGGTGATCTTCCCGTGAATTACTAGACATCATTATACTGCTTTTTATTGGATTCATAAAGAGTCAGTTATTCTAGGTCTAGCTAACTTTTTATGCTACAATATTCTGGTTGATCCTTATCTACTAGTTTGACCTATAGAATTGACCTTACTCAGTCATTACGTGGTATTTGATAAATTTTACTATTGCTTTTAATTAGATTCACCGGGTCCTTCAGCCGACAAAGTTTATCTCTGACAGATTTTTCTGGTTTAAATGCCATCCTAATTCCAGCATGGTTGAGAATACTACGTGAGGCCTCTGAGGTACCTTCTTTATTTGGCAGTCCTACAGAGACTTGGAATTCTATATTATTATCGTCGTTTTTTATTGATGGTCTTAATTTTCCTATGGCTCTTCATATATTTCTGAATAGTTCACTAGTAATACTTTGTTTGATTGTTTCGTTTAATTCTTTAAATATTCTGACCTGCTAGTAAGGCTCTGGATTTACTTGCATGTATTCACAAAATTAGGTTGGACAGGGTGAGAGTATTAAAAAGTGATATTGTTTGGTGGAGAGACAGATAGGTTAATCACTGAAGCTTTGTTTATCAATCCAACATCACACACGTGCAACTGGAATGACGCAACACCTATGCCGGAGATTTGGAGAGTGCCAACAAACAACGATGGGAGGTCGGAGAAACAGAATAGAGAGAAAATATGTATAAGACGAATTGTAAAACAGTGTGACTGAAGGAGATATGATTATGAGCAATAATTAATGCTCTAAACCTTGTCTTCCAGTCGTTAATACTACATCGCTAAGTGATAATTAAAATAAACCTATCTAATATGGAAATACATTCTACCAAGACCACTCTTTCATCGTGTCGATTCTATTCTCTTAAGACGCACCTACATGTTTCCTCCAAGGCTGCTTTCATACCGTTCCACTGTTACGTAATGTAGCGTTTTTAGTAATAGTGCACATATTTTCGGGCTTTTCTCAGGACACTGCAGTTGAGTTTCCTTACACTTATTGACGATATTAACCTATATCTGCTGTTTCTTTCGATGTCATTTCCGGTAGTTTGACTCTGTCCGATTTAATTTCACTCTGGATTTTTCTGTGTGCACCCAGTGAAACCTTCATCGCTTTGTATATATATATGCTTGTACACCATGTATTCAGTCATAAATCCTTTGGACGCTTAGAAGTCGAAGAATAGTTTCCTTCCTTATTCACTTCTCCTAGAACTTCACGAACAACAGCTGGCTTTCTCCCGAGTTTTTTGCTCGCAGTTTCGCATTCGCATCTCCGAAAAATCTTCAACTGGCTTTATACAGTTTTTACATCAGTCATTGTTTCATGCTGCGCCGTTGATAGCTCGGAGTGACGTATTCTGGAATACATCTCTTCATTACTTTCACAATCTGAGCACCCTTTTTAGCTTCAAACATCGTGGGGACACTCCACATATCTCTGTCAACTTTTCCTCTGTATCAGCTGGCTGGTTTCGGTGAGGCTTTCTCGTACCGTCGTCAGTGGTCTTCCTATTGACGTTTCTATTCAATTCCAGAAGAGAATAAGTTTGCTTTGGCTTTTCTATTGAGATTCATTAAAAATGGGGTTGAATTTTTATGAGTTGGTGACGCTGAACCTGCGTCCAAACTTCCGTGCTTTCCAAGTTTGTCACCTGTTGACAATCTATGTGAAATTTAGTGACCGCAGCCTACAAACTTCAGACAGGACTGTTTAGACCGAAAAAGCAGTGAAGTAGTTGTTTACTTCAGGAAGATAGTAGCCTCAAGTAGAGCGGTAGCTCCCGCACGTGAAATAAGGTTATGCCAACTGGTGCATTGTAGGGTGAAACCAAAGGGACAAGACATATATCGTCGTAATACCTGTTTTCGAGGCAATGCGAGACATTATGCTCATGGGAGAACTGAGCTGATAGACGTCACAGAACTTACGTCTTGTAGACCACATTACGATTCCTAGCACTGCTCTTCAAATGCGGAGTTATTTTTCTCTCACAAAGAGGAATGGGAGATGCACTCAACATTCAGCACCGTAAGGAGAAGCCATCATGCTGTGATTAACTCACTTGGCAGGGTAGTTGTCATATATGGTTCTGAGAAACTAGCTGTAATACACTTATGGATAGTGCACCCAGATCAGGAAACAAGACTGTGAGTCCGGAAACTCACACTGAAGCGCCATAAAGTCAATGCAAACAATGATTCATTATGTTTTCCCGACCTATCATCTCATGGCACAGATAAGTATTATTCTAAGTACATCACCAAGGTCTGGACACACATCACAGAACAGATTGTACTGGTGTACCACAAAGTACTGTACTGGGGACGTCGTATTTATTTGATGTATTACGTGGGCTCACCGAACCCCTAGCAAGGAATAGAGAGAGGAATTTCGGCAGCAGCATACTCACTTTGCAAACATATCTCAACAATCTAGTAGAGAGTTTCAAACAATGGATTGCTCTTATCGCCGTAACGCAGGATTCACAC